AAAAAAAAAAAAAGGAAGATATTTTAATACCAGTGACCATTAGATAATACCTCTACAGAAGTTTTAAAGTATTGCAAATCTATTTACCCATCAGATTATAATGCATGTACTTTGTTGGAGTTGAATTTTTAAGTGTATTTTTTTGTTGTTGTTTTGACGTTTAGGAATGGAACAGAGAAACAGCATCAAATGCCCAAAAGTGGGCAAACAAGTGCACTTTAGAACACAGTAGTGCAGCGGACCGAAAAACCAGTACGTAAATTAATAAATATTTGTTGAATAAATGAACAAATAAAGTAACACTGGACAAATAAAATAGAATGGACCATTCTGAGGTGTTAAGAAGACATTGTGAATACATGGTGCTTAGACTTCTATCTTTTTTGAAATCACTGTACGTAGAGAGGTAATTATGAGAAGTACCAGTTTGTGCTTGTTGATTGCTTATGTTATACAAATAATTTCTCAAGCAGTATAGCATTTGTTTCTCTCAACCAGATCATGAGTAAACAGGTCATGTGTCACCTCTTTTCAAATTTTAAAGATTAGAAAACTAAGATGTGGGAGGAATGACTTACCCAAGAATACAACGTGAAGTAGTGTCATATGTTGGAAAGTTAACGAAGCTTCCTGATTTCCAACCCACTGCCCTTGTGTAATATTGTGTAGCCATTTGGTGTTCCGAAATCTACTTTGTATTCATAAAATGTATTGAATTATATTGAATTCTTCCTGAATTTTCCCCTAAACATATTTAAACTTTTAGTCAGTATAAATATTTTGGATATGTTGATTCATTTTTAAAATTTTGACAACATAGTTAAGTATTTTGTATGGACTATGTGTCTATAATGCATAGAATAATATATTAGATTCAAATAACATATCTTATAAAACATATTAAGGATAAAACAAGCTATGAGAGAAAAAACTTTTATGGATAAACTTTACATAAAATATTTGCTCATATATTCAACAATGATATACATATAAGCAAGCCCAATTTGAAATGAATAATTTACCTGTAATTTCAGTAGAACTATTATTGCTTATATTGTTGATACTAACATTATAATGAAATTATGAAGAGAGATGACTGCACTCAGTAGAAATTGAAACAAATGGTCTTAAAAATCCAAGTCTGTTAGATTATTAGTTTCTCTCCTTCCTTATTAAAGGAAATACCCAAGAATGTTTTATACTCTAAGCAGCATGTAGACATTAAATTTCAAGCCACCAAACTGTAAGTATTAAGTGAGGGCTTGAAAAGATAAGGAAAAGTTTCTGGGAAACAAGGCACTTTTTAAAAAATTTTTATTTTATTGTGTAAGAGTACTTAACATGAGAACTACCCTTTTAGCAAATGTTTAAATGCACAATACACATTGTTGACTAGAGGTACAATGTGGTACAGCAGATCTCCACAGCTTATTCATGTTGCCTAACTGAAACTTTATGCCCACTGATTAGTAACTCCCCATTTCCCCTTATTCCCAGCCCTGGCAACCACCTTTCCACTCTTTGATTCT